CAAGTTCTGCAGCCAGAAACAGATATAAATTTGGCTGAGCAGCACGGGTGAAAATAAAATAGATTTGTAATGTACCAAATATGCACCAGATGGCTCTACTTCCTACCAGCCCGGTAAGGCTGGTTAACAAAGCCTTACTGCCCTCCTTCATCACCATCATCATCATCATCATCATCATCATCTCTTATTAAAGCCCTCTGGTACATGGTGTTCTGCAGAGCACTCCAAGTCTGGATATCAAGCTGAAAATATCTCCTGCCTCCCTCCCCTTTGCTTCCCGGTTGTGTCTGCTCTGGGTCATCGTTTCCTCCACAATCCTCTCTCCCCTGGCCTCGCTTCATTTCCCACCACCGCTCTCACCCTGTTTTACCTGCCACTTTCCAAGCCTGTGTCTCTCAAAGTCTGGCCCTCACACCTCCTGCATCAGAATCGTCTGGGGAGTGTGTTAATGGTGCAAATTTCTTAGAACTCTTCCACCCCTGTGCTAATTCAGAGTGCCCAATAGTAGTCTGTGGACACTTGCATTTTAACAAGTTCCTTGCCACGGACTTTGAGAAATGCCACCCTAGATGCTTTCTTTTCAACAAGAGTCAAAGAATTAGTCTTCCAGCTTCCCAGTGTAGAGAGGTACAGACCAGAAGTCAGCCCTAGAAGGGACACCAACGTTGATGTACCAGAACTGACCTGTGCCTGATTGCAAAGTAAAAATTTCAGGAAATTAGAAAGCTGGTTGATGGCTTGAAAGCTAGCCACAGGAGGAATATTAATACCACAGAAATTATCAAACCCTAATAACCAAGGCTTTTGCTTTTTTTTTTTCGCTGCAAACATTTTAGTGATTATTCTTGAGCACACATTTTGGAAATTTTTTACTTCAAATGGCAACAAGTTAAATAAATGTTTATAATATACAAGAAAATATGACCAAAAGTAAAACTTGCTTTAAGCATGACTTGCATTTAAAACAGTGTTTTCCCCTCTTAATATATCTTTATTTTTGAGCTGCACAAACACACTTAAGACTTTGATCTTCGTAGCACGGCATTTAGGTAATAAAAATATAGTCCCACCTTAAAGAAATAAAAAGGTTGTGCATGATTATACGCCGAACAAGAGAGAACGCTAGAATATTCAGATAGTGCAGGCCTCATTAAAGAGGAACATAAAAAGCTTGAGATGTTCATTAATTCTCTGTGTTTGGAGGAAGCAGGATTTTTGACCAAGTAGCTTAAAAACCAGCAAAATGCTTTTTCAAGAAAGAAACAGTTCACCAGTACACCACGGGACACCCAGTATCCAGCCCAGCACTGTGATTTGCAGATGAGAGCGCTGAGGCCTGGAGAGGTGAAGGGACCCGTTCAGGGTCTTGCGACAGTGAAGATAAAGTCACAGCTAGAGTGACCCCTGTTCCAGTATGCATGACAGCTGCATTCCTCTTTCACAAATGCTTTGCACCTGTTGGGAGGTTGGTTTGGAGGGCTTCTTTCACATAGTTGGCTTAAATGTCGGACACTCTGTGAGTCAGTTGGGGTTGTTCGATTGCAAACCACAGATTCTGACTCCCTTAAGCAGAAAAATAAAATTCAGTATAAGAGTCTCACTGAGTTCACAGAGCAGAAGGGAAAGCTAGAAACCAGACTTAAAGAAACATTGAGCTAGGGCAGCTCAGGATTCCCTGGGGCAGGAATTAGGGGATGGTCTCCTTAGGGAGATGCTACTGGGTTGAACCAACTCCAAACTCTTCTTTCCAGCCTTGCTTCACTCAGCTCAGAAGAAGAAGTCTTTGAAGAGAATCTGAATGCTCTTGGGCCCTATGCTCACCTCTTAGCCAGGGCAGACAGGTCACACTGATTGACACCTCCAAGACGGCACAGAATGGATGAGAGGGGATTTCCCAAAAGGCAATCATGCTCCATTGCAGTGAGAAGGAAAAAATGAAAGCAGATAGCCAAAAAACTACAATGCCATCTATGTGCTTCAACACAACAGTGAGCTCCAGGGAGCTTGAGTCAGGATCTCCGCCCTCTTACCCCTAATCCCCAATGTTGCGCTTTATGGCCTGGACACACCCTGCCTTCGGTTGCTGCTGGGATTGGGAACCTGACTTGGGCTTCCTAATGCGTCACTGTAAGGGTTCCCAGCCATCTTCTGTTCACCTTCTGTGGCCTCTCTTAATTGTACTGACTACTATCTAAAAGCTAATGATCCCCAACTCTGTTCCAGACCCATAGTTTGAGTTTCCTAGTGGACAGAGCCATTTCTCAGACCCAACTTTCCCTTCTCTCCTGCTGCCTCTTCCTTAATTCAGGTTTGCATCATTATCAATTGGTCTTTCAGACCAGCCTCTGGACTTTGTCTCCATCTTCATTTTCTTTCCGATCCAATCCATCCTCTGCACATAGGTCACATTACTCCCATCCTTCAATGGTATCTAATGACCATCAAAGCCTTTTGTGACCTGATGTTGACTTGTCACTCTCAGCCCATCTGTGCCTCTCTGCTGACACTCGGCCTTTGCCTTTACCACATGGAGCCTCTCCGCAGACCCACCAAGCCTTTCCCACTCTCGTGCCTTTTCACATGCCTTTCCTCTGTGTGCAGGGCCCTTCCTCAGAAACTTTCCCTAGAAAGTTCTTAGGCATCCTTTATGACCCAGAGAATAAGATAGAAAATGTGGGCTGAATGCTAACGCATTAGGTGGGTGGGCCAGGTGGAGACTGCCTTGGTGAAGTCTTCTCTGACTTGCTCAGTTAGGTTTTATTTCTCTGTCCACTGTATTTTCACAATTCCGTTCATGAAGTTCATAAAGTCCGTATTCCACACTAATATATGCATTTGCATGCCATTTTTCACCTCTTCATGGACACTTATCAATTTTTTGCCCACTCAGGACCTTTTCTTCTCTTTTTTTAAAGCCAAAGGCATGTAAAAATATATTTTAACTTTAAAAATAACTTAGTTACAGTAATACTTGGCCAGTGTCTTACCAACATGTAGCTGACAGTCAAAATTTTGCAATATAGATATAATATATAGGGATACATAAGAACTGCAAGAAAATCCCCAAAACCCAAAAAGTTCAAATATGACAACAGAAAAGTTTTAACACTGGAAAATTTGCTATGGTGAGCCCAAGCAATAAACAGAAAAGAATCTAGAAAAAAGGCTTTGTTGTTAAATAAATTTTGACTTTCTCTTGCTCAGAAAATGTCGGAGTGCTGTAAAGTTCTATAAAGTTCCTTAATGTGAATCGCCCAGCCCTTCATGGCTAGTGCCAATCCTGGCCAAGCCAGATTGCTTGTGTGTCTGCAAACAGTACACGAGCTGAACATCACCAAGGCCTGCCGAAAATGGGCTCTGGCTGACTCACTTCCTCTTTTTGCCAAGACAGGTTTTGCTTTGTTGTTTTTTCTAAATTGTTTCTGCAAACAGGGCATAACAGGTAAAAAAAAATACTTTGTAAGAATATTATTTTAGAAAACCCATCACAAAACTGTAAATACAGCTCCGGAAGCCCTTCTCTTCAACTGCGGTCAGTTTGTTTTTTGTACCTTTTACCCCAAAGGAAAAAAGTTGGTATCCTGTTACTTATTTTTGTCCATGACATTCAGCACCTCATCCAAAAGTGAGGGCCCAAGATCCAGCTGCAGGGAGAGGAGGGAACCTGTAAGGTCAGAGAGGGACTCCTCTGACTTAGTCTTTCCCTTGATGAGCTCGCAGGGGGCAGGATGGTCCAATATGTCCCCAGCTGGCCAGTTGGGGTACTGTTCAGACAGGCTGGAGGACTGGCTGTCCCTGCCTTGGCTGGACTAAGAGGCAGAACCGCTGGAGCCCCAGGAGGTGTCTCCCCCGGACCTTTTCACATCTTCCCTATGTTTGGGGAATTCTGTTTTAAAATCCCCACATCCTAACTTAGAAGGCAGGTACTCACTCTCCCCACCTCTCTTGCAGCTAGGGCACAGCTGCATCAGAAGGACTCTGAGCCAGAAGCCAGCACAGCAAAGCAGCGCAAACCAGGAGGAGTATGTTCTGGCCAAGGCGGCTTATGTCTGCCTCAGTCTCAGAAGATCCTGATGAGAGCACCCAAGGTCCCACCTTAGCAGGGGCACGAGTTCAAGCCGTGTGTCTGTGCTGAAAGGGGAGCCAGCATTGTCTCTTCTAGACTATTCTGCAAAGCGTTTTGAGGTATTATTCCTAGATTCATAGCTTCCCAAAGATTTGGTGACCTAACTAATATTCTTTAGTAAATTCGCTTTCTGCGTAAAGTAGCCAGACATGATTTCTGATATTTGCAACTAGGAATCTTTAAGTCTGAAAGACCTTCAAGAGTAGGGCTCACAGCTTGTTTATTTCTTCATTCCCCACACAGTGCATGGCACTGAGAAGTTTCTCTCTACATGTTTGTTGAATGAATGAATGAGGCTGCTTATCGGCAGTGTTTGACTTCACTTTAAGAGCGGCAGGCTGGAGTTTAAGAGCTGACCATAATGCCTATGTTACTTGCGTCAGAAATCTGAGCCCTACATCTTATTTCAAGGAGCTCAGGAGTGTTCAAAGAGAAATATTAAGCAATCCATAAGATTATTTTAATGTTTATGTATAATTTCTTTTCTGCTTGACTTTTCCATAAAGCTCTTATACTTGGAATTTCATTTCATTTTTTAAACTCCACTCTGTTTCTACCTTCTTTTCATTTCTTCCCCACACAGATTGATGGAAGGATTAAATGAATTTCAGTGCCCTAAATGTAAAACCGTTTCTCAGAGTGCGGACTGCCTATGTGCCATCTCCTCATCAGGCCCTGGAAATGGTTTCCTTTCTTCGCTAGTAGCAGAGCAAAATGGTGGAGGCCTTTGATTCCATAAAGTATTTCATAGAGTCTCACCTTACTTCCTCAAGGACAAGATAGAAAATGAGGCCCGAATATAATGCATTAGGTGGATGGGAGAGATGGAAATTCCCATCTGTCCACCCAAATCTCATCTCCCCTTCTTCTGTAGGAACAGCAGTGGAGCGGGCTCCTGGTGGCTAAGCTGCCCTGCCTTTCCCACCTTCCCTATGGTGGGGCGCGCCTTTGTGTCTACATTCTCCCCACAGGCTTGTGAGCAGAAGTCATCCATGTCCCCATGAGGCCAGCACATATATCTTCTCCACTTGCTCCTCCACACTCTTCTCCTGCTTCCTACTTGTGAGAATGGTGACCAGCAGAGCCACGCAGAAAGCCACATGCCGAAGACAGAAGAGCTGCCATCAGCCTGGGTCCCTGGCTAACGGTGGGAGGATGGACTCCTGCCAAAGTGGGGCCTCTCCATACTGTCATGCGAGAGAAATGCAAAACTGTATACCAGTTAAGCCCCTGAGCTGTTACTAAACTTACTAAACGTACTTTCCTTTAATGCACGGGGTTAACTGGTGTAACATACCCAAAGAATAGTGACCAATGCTTGAACATCAGCCTGGAAGGGGAACACGAGCAGCGTGCCGCAGGGTTCTGTTTTGATGCTGACACACATCATTTAAGCGACAGCTCAGACAAGGCTGTGGAAGATGTGCTTCTCAGATTTAAAAATGACACTATGCTGAGAGGGATAGCTGGTCAAATTTTAAAAGATTTCGACAAGTTAAAAATAACAAGTGATATTTCCTAAGCATTTAATGTCAGTCAGGCTCTGGGTTAAATGCTTTCCAAACATGATCTTGTTTAATACTTATGATGATCCTATGATGTAGAAATATTACCTCCCTTTCTGAGATGGGAAAACAGAAACGTCAAGAGATTAAGTAAGGAACTGGTAAATGATAGCACTGGGATTTCAACCTGGAGTCTGTGGTTCTGACCACTTTGCTTAGGGTGGTCCTGGGTGTAGGTTGGTTTGGGCAGCCCTGGTTGTTTATGTTGTCTCAAAATAATTGTTAATAATAATAATAACACCTGCTTTCAGTCTTAAAATGGTCACAATTTATATGATAAATTATATGATCACTTTTGTGATTCTGCCCAGTCTAAACCCTATAAGATAAAATTCAAGAGAAATCACTATAGAGTCCCATACATCAAATGTTCAAATATGGAAAATCCAATAGAGGGGGTTTGTTTTCTCTAAGATTACATTGAGCTAATAGCATGATGAGGCTGTAAAAATGGCACTGGAAATTTACATATCATCATTGACAGGTGTGGTGAACCCAGAACCAGGTACAGGATGGTTCTGTTGTGCTTGGTGCTAGACAGGCTACATCTAGACTGCTGGGATCCTTTCAAGGAACCATATTTTCAGAGAGGTGAACAATCACAAATGGAGCACATTCAGAGGATGGTGTGCTGGTGCAATATTGAGAAACCAAGTCATATGAGGACTGGGTAAGGGCACAAGGGATTCTTTGCCTGGAGCCAAGCAGACGTTAGGGACATGTGAGCTGTCCTCACATATCCCAATGGCTGCCATGTGGGGGAGGGATCAGGCTGATGCCAGGGACTCCAGATGGCAGATCCAGGACTAGGTGGAATGACAAGGAAGCAGATTCCAGCTCAATTTCAGGAAGAACTTTCTAACAATCTGAGCTGTCTGACAATGTGCCCAACTTGCAAAGGATGGAGCAGCCGGTTCCTGCTTGTATTCAAGCCAAAGCAGGCTAGACCTCAGTCAGAGACGTAGTAATGGTGGCACCTGCTCTGGGAATGGAGTTGAACTAAATGCCCTCGATGTTTCTTTCTCAAATTCTGTTATTCCAACAACAGTGATAAAATCAGATTATGGACACCAGAGAGGGCACAAGATGTATTCAGTGTGTGAGTGGAAGAACCAATCACAGCCTAGATTTTTTAAAAAGCAAGTAGACAGTGCCCTAAATCTGTGGTTTGAGTGGGCTTGTGGTCTAACAGGCTTGAGTTACCACGGCTGCCGCAGCAGGCCCGGGACTTGAATGAAGCTGGTTAGGGAAGATTCTGTAATTAGGACCAGGAGTTAGGGATTGCATCTCAGCAGCCAGACAGAAGAGCTCCTGGGTCTTCAGGGCCTAGGGGAGCTGAGAGAGGGATCTCTGATGCAGTCTTGTATAGGAACAGGGAGAAAGAAGTAGACCCAGTATTGTAGCAACTGCCTAGAAAGAGCCAGCTGCGTATATTGCCCTCCCTGCTGGAGATGCTAGTCTCCAGATTTCTTACCTAGAGCAAAGAAACTTATATTCACTCCCAGGTAGGTGCCAGACACTGTGCTGAGGGCTGAGGATTCAAAGGCAGAATTTAAAATTAAGATGTTTTCTCGATTGCAAGTAACAACAACAACAACAAAAAGCAAACTCAATCTCATTTAAATATAAAGGTAATTGATTGAGCTGTGTAATAGAGAAATCTAGAGGTAGTTCTAGTTTGAGGCAATGCTTGATCTAGTGCCTCAAATAATGAGACCAGACCTCCATTTCTGTCTCTCCATTTCTTCTTCTTTCTTTCTTTCTTTTTTAGAGACAGAGTCTTACTTGGTCACCCAGGCTGGAGTGCAGTGGGGCGATCTTGGCTCACTGGTTCCGCCTCCCAGGCTCAAGCAATTCTCTCCTGAGTAGCTGGGATTGCAGGCACCTGCCACCACACCCTGCTAATTTTTGTATTTTTAGTAGAGCCAGGGTTTCATCATCTTGGCCAGGCTGGTCTTGAACACCTTACCTCGTGATCCACCCACCTTGGCCTCCCAAAGTGCTGGGATTACAGGAGTGAGCCACCGCGCTCAGCCCTTTCTCTTCATTTCTTAGCTCTGGGTGGCTTCGTTGCAGGCCTGACTCTACCACCCCAACCTTCACCTCCACTGATGAGGATGTTAAGCTTCTAAGTTGTTACTGAATGTACTTACTGAGTACACTTTTCTTTAATGCACGGGGTTAACTGGTGTAACAGCCAGATCCAAAGAATAGTGTCCACTGCTTCAGTATTAACCCGAAAGGAGAACACTAGCAGCATGCTACGGGGCTCTGTCTTTGATGCTGACACAGATTATTTCAGCACACTCGAAGAAAGCCAAGGTTTCTTCCAGTATCCCAACAGGCTACATGTGCAGCAGGGGTGAAAGAGTCCAGGGCTCATCTTTCCAGGCAGAGCCCTGAGGTGCAGCCTGATTGGCCTGGCCTGAGTCACATGTCAACCCTGGGCCACTGTGACAGGGAGAATGGAGGTAGGGTATGCCCATTAACTTAAGCTGTGCAGATGGAGTTGGACATTGGCATCAATCGCACACAAACCACATGGCTGAACGGAAATAAAAGCAAATTTGGTAAACTCTTTCCTGAGGAGAGGAGGAAAATGCTAGGCTACAAGCAGATACCCAGCAGACAAGATCTCAGGGCGCCTCTGCGAAAGTGCAGGTAATTATGAAAGCAAGCTGGTGTTCTACTGTCATACAGGAAGTCCTGGGTACTAGTGGAGCAGGGAAGTGCCTGGTTAGAGAAGTCTTCCTGGAGGAAGTGACATTTACACTGAGACCTGAGCATTAGTAAGATTTAACTAGCTGATCAGAGGGAAATAATGTTCTTGGCAGAGGCAGAAGCGTGAGCGAAGCCAGTAGGTGAGAGAGCATGACAAGTTCAGGGACTGAAAGCAATTCAGTGTGGCAGGAGCGAGGGACCTGGGAGTCAGGTACTCCAGCTGGGTGATGCTGCTGTCAACTGCGCTGACAAGGCAGGGGAGCTGATCAGGAGCTGCAGCCTCATTTGTCCATGAGCCTGCAACCCGTGGCAGCAATGGGGCGGAGAGCTCTGACTGGGGGACAGCCCTGCCTTGTCCCCTCACTGTTCCTAACGACAGCACAGAACTCTGAGGGAGCAAGACACAGTGTGGGTGAGTGCGGGTGAGAAGGGCAAAAGCCTGGGCTGTTCAAGTCTCAGCAGAGCCTCTGGGTAGCCCCAAGGTAAATGTCACAGCTTTGCCTAAAGGTGGCTTGAGATTAAAGCCATCCTCTGTTAAATTATATAGACTACTATAGAGGTAGGCACTGCATTAATACTTGTCACTAGATCTTGAGGTGTGAGACAGGATCCCTATCCTAGCCTGTACATTAGGATTTCCTAGGGAGCCGTTTTAGAAATAGTCTTATGGTGACTATGACACTATGGTGGTGAGGCCCGTGTCCTGCGGGTGCTCCTATGCACAGTCCGCACGGAGAGCCACTGTCTTGGTTGCTTTCTTGCTGGGCAGACTGTGTGGGCTGCAGGGCCAGACAACTGTGGGCTTAAATCTCAGCTCTTCCGTTTGTTGTGTGATCTCACGTAGGTTCCTGGTCTTGCCAAGCCTTGTTTTCCTCCCCTGTAAGATGAGATACTATAGTACCCACCTCATGGGATCTTTGTAAGGTTTAAATGATGTTTGTAAATTGCCTAGGATATAATAAGCCCCCCAAGTGGAAAATATTATTATTACTGTGTTAGAGATGACTTCATCTTTACATACATTCAAACCCTGTTCAGTCGCTCTCTCATTCTGGTGACATCCACTGAGACTCTTTTAAGTCCCGGGCACTGGAAACAGAGCAGTGAACAAAACAGACAAAAGTCTCTGCCTTGTCTACTTTACCTTTTAGTCACTCACTTAAATTTTGTGAGGACCACTCTCACCGCTATGGGGAAAATTGACAAGGGGATGTCATCCAGGTGCACATTAAGGATGTACATGACTTTGTTCTACTCTTGGGGAGACAGTCCACTTTTAAAATGGCCTCAACCATCCTCACCTTCTGCAATTCACACCTTTCTGTAGCCCTCTCCCCTTTAGTGTGGGCTGGACCTAATGAGTTGCTTCCATCAAATTTAATATGTCAAAAATGATGGATGTCGCGCCTAAGATTCGATGATTGAAAGCCTGCCTTCTGTCTTGCTGAGTTTCTCTGTTGTCAGCTGCCCCATGGAGAGGTCTAAACTGCAAGAAACTGGTATCTTCAGTGAATAGCCAGTGAGGACCCGAGGCCTGCCAACAGCCACCTGCGTGATCTTGGAGGCAGATCCTCTTCCAGCTGAGCATAGGGAGTACTGCCGTCCCGTCCAATGCCTTCAGGATAGCCTTGTGTGAGAGACCCTGAGCCAAAGGGACACAGAAAAGCTACACTTGGATTCCTGACTCATTGTGGGACAACATTTTGTTGTTTTAAGCCACTAAGTTTTGGGGTCCTTTGTTCTATAGCTACTGATAACTAATATACTTGATAAGAATAAAAATATAAACCCTGGGTAGCCAGTCAGAAGCTTGACAATCACAAAAAGGTCACTGCGTTTTCTCCTCTGATATGTCAAGGCTCACTCACCTCCTTCAGATCTTTAATCAAAATTCATCAACTCATCAAGGGCTTCCTTGGCCACCCGTTAGGAAATGGCAAACCATTCGACAGGTTCTTTCTTCGGTTTAACATTTGTTAAGCATGTGCTTATGATTGGACCCAGGAATCTCACTTCTACGTATTTACTGAAGAGAAACACAATCATATTTTTTACACTCCTCAGCCTCCCAGGTCGCTGGGACCACAGGGCGCTCACCAGCACACCCTCTACACTCTCCTGCTTTATTTTTCTCTTTAACACTTGTCACCATCTGGTATACCACACACTTTATTTACCTTTTTTTTTGTGAGTCAAGGTCTCACTCTGTCACCCAGGCTGGAGTGCAGTGGCGTGATCACAGCTCACTGCAGCCTCTGCCTCCCAGGCTCAAGGCTCCAACCCCAGCCTCTGGAGTAGCTGGGACTACAGGCATGTGCCACCATGCTAATTTTTTTTACATATATAGCATTTTAATTTTATTAATTTTATTTATTTCCACAGGTCTTTGGGGAACAGGTGGTGTTTGCTTACATAGTAAGTTCTTAAGTGGTGATTAGTGAGATTTTGGTGCACCCATCACACAAGCAGTATACACTGTACCCAGTGTGTAGTCTTTTATCCCTCACCCCCTTCCCCCCCTTTCTCCCAAGTCCCTAAAGTTCATTGTATCATTCTTTTACCTCTGCATCCTCATAGCTTAGCTCTCCCACTTACGGGTGAGAACATGTGATGTTTGGTTTTCCAT